ACTTTAGATATAATTATACACAATTTTAATATTATTTAAATAATATTTAATAACATATATTACGTATTACTATAATTTATATTTATAATTTTTAGTAATATATTAACATATATTATATCTATATTATAAATAAAAATAATTATTAATAATAAATATTATATCACTATAAAATATGTGATAAAAATAATAATTAAGTATTACAAACATACTTGACACCACATCCATCAAATCAACAAAACCACGTCCAACACAAAAGAATATAAATTATATTTTATTGTTTCTCTACGAAAGTTATTTGACTTTGATTTAAACATACATTACTTAAGATATATTTTTATCTACAATCATATTTAAAAAATGTCATTTTTTATTTATCAACTAATTTAATAATTAATTATGATTTTAATCTAATAAATAAATTTTTATATATTGAACACAAATTATTATTTAATAAGAGAGTATTTTTAGAATTTTTGTAAATAAGAAAGATTGAAAATAATTTTTAACTTCTTATCTAATTCAGATTTTTAATTATAATTATTTATATATTTAATTTTAATATTTTAAAATAAAAATTTTAAAATATAAATAATCTTATACTATAATATAAATTATTTATTATAAATTTTAAGTATAATTTATATATTCAAATATGATATTTATTTGTAGATATTATTCATTTTATATAAAATTTGACTATATATAATAAACATTTAACTTATACATAGGTAAAATACTAGTTAGTTTAATAATTTTTAGTTTTCAATTAATCAGTTTATTATTTTTTTTACAGCATCAATATACTGTTTTTATCATATATGAGTTAAATTGGGATACATTTTTTCATAGTATCATCTATTACATGTATATTTTTTTTATTTAGTTTAAGTATATACAGCACAAGGCTTGCCACGTGGTTTTAAAAAAATATGTTATTCTCTTATAAGAATTGGCGAATGTCATCGAGATTTTATTCACATGGTGTTAGCCAATTACTTCTGCAATTTTAGAGTCAAAACAAAGAAAAAAAAAGTGGCACGATCTAATTTTTCCTTTTCTGGAAGATTTTATTTGCGTGTTCTATTTTAGATAGAGTGATATTTTATTGCTTTTCTCATTATAAACATACGTCAAAATATATTGAGTAGTTTAATGCTAAACGTTTGGCCGTTGAAAACTTTTTCTACACGAGTTCAACACTACCAAAAAATAATAAATTATAAGAACATTCATATGGATTTTGAAAGAAAATTTATCCGTATTCACTTTTTTTTGTGCGTTCTAAAAAATCTAAGAAAAATACTTATAAAAAGTTTATTGTATGTTCAAATCTGTATACGATATCTTAGATGAGAGATTCGGATTAACTTTTTTTTCTTCTATTTATAATTTCCCGTTTTATTACTTCATTTAAATCATCTCATGGATACTTTAAAATACATAGTTATGTAGTTGTACAACGAGTACATAAATGTATAAATAAATATTGATGAAATATTATAAAAACTTTAAAACAAATATAATAATATAAAAATGCAAGAATGTTATAAAAAATCAAGTGTTTAATTTTTTTTTTATTTACTTCTTATCATCATTTTAATCTACGAGTAAAAAAATATTTGGCTGAAATCAAATTAAATTCTATTTAAATTAATTTATACCTAAAAAAATCAAAAAATCAAATTAAAAAAATAACTAATACATAAACATATCAATAAATTGTGAAAATAATACAAAATAATTATTATATAGGAAATACTTCAGTAAGTTTGTCTCTTTGATCCTCCTTCTTGTAAGTTCTCATTTTCTTGTTTAATCTTGAGGCATACCTTTCAAAAAGAAAAAGGATTAGCTGCAATAAGATATTCTCACAGTCTTCAACTTCAGACAATCAACACAATTAATATTGTTATATATCATTCAAAGATTTTAAACATCGATATAAGCAATGGAGTGAAAATAAAAAATTAGTACAAAAATAATTGTAGCCTTTACTATTTTTCATTCTAATTAAACCTGGTTGCAGAATCATTGATATATTGAATATTTAGTTGCCTATGTTAATGATATCTAACTTTTAATTAATTGGTGGATGGAATATATTCAGTTTCAAAAACTGATTCAATAAACGACAATAACTATTACTTTTGTAATTTAGTTCATTCAATCCATTTTTGTAATCAACTTACATGTGATCATTTTTTTTTCTATTTTTAAATTTATTTACCTTCCAACCAAAAATGTCCATGGGAAAATTATGAATTTAAAAATCTTAATTAAAATAATGAATACAAATATCAATTGACTAATATAATTATAAATTTCACATATAATTAATTTATATAGATAGTTGTTATTTAAGTACAACTATTTAATTAACTAAGTCCTTGAATATTCAAACACCAAAAGTTTTTCCTTCAAAAGATAGATCATATTTAATTTTTTCAATTACTCATTTCAAATATCTTCATTTTTCTCTTTTAAATTATTATTCTTTTTTTTTTCTTTTCCAAATTTTTTTCCTATCTCTTCCTCCCAAAATTTACATTCTCTTATTATAAGAAAAGAAAGAAAGAAAAAATTGAAATTTTTTCTCTCTGAAATAACATATTTGAAATAATTTTACTGTTGATATTTATTTATATAAAAGAAGAAGTAATCATGATTTTACAAAATACATAGAGATGATTTGTAAATCTTAAAATTTATGGTTCTTATTTTTAATCATGGCTATATATATTAGGGAGAGAAAAGATGCTTCTTACTCATGATTAACAATTCATGTTAATAGAATAGTGAACAGTTATTATGTATTAAAAGACTTTTATAACCTTTTATAATCTTTATATAACAATTTCTTATTTTTATTTAAAAGATTAAAATCATCCTAAATAAAGTGAACACGAAAAGAATAATTTTATTTATAAGTATAAATAATTAATTTTAATTTTCATAAAATAAATTTATGTGAACGGTGACTATATTATTATTATTTTTAATATTATTGTGATGTATAATTCATTTTTTAAAATTATTTAATTATTTTTCATATTTTAATTTTATTTTAAATCAAAATTTAATTTGTAATTATGATAATTTTAAAATGAGATAACATTTTATAAATGTTTATTTAATGACACATTAAAACACCTTAAACTTGAATTTAAACATTTATAACTTAAGTTCTTCTTGAGTTTATTAAATTATGTGGGTGACCCATTCAATGTACGAATTATTTTATTTTTCAATTCGTTAAAATTTTAATATATAATTTTATTACTTTTTTTTTATATAATTTTAAACAACCTGTGAATTTAGTATATAAAAAAAACCAAGTAGCCCGTGAATAGAAATTATAATAAGGTGAATTTTCAAAAATTTTAATTATTATACATAAATAGCATTAATGGGTGACTTGTATTTTCTTATAAATTAATTCGTATCAATTTTTTCGTTTACCTGGTATGTATAACTTTTTCCAGTAATCATTCAATTGCACATTTACCTCGTTAAGATGAGACATGAAACATTTAATCCAATAGTTATTGGATTTTATATTTAAATTAATGAATAATTATAAAAAATTTATATGTTTAATTTAAATTAATAAAATAAAATATTAGAGTATCTACAATTGAGAGTTGTTTATAAGCAACTCCCAACCATTTTAAATGAATCTCACTGTGCCACGTTACTTATAAGCAATTCATATTATATTTTTATAATTTTTGCTCCAATGAAAATTGCTTATAAGCATCTCTACTTTTTTTACAACTCACACTACACTTTATGATAACTCAACCAATCACACTTTTCCATTTCAATTTTCAGATTGCTAAACATTGTTCCTTGGAGAAGCAACGGAACTAAAAAATTTAGAACTTGGCTTGTCACGTAGGATAACTCCAATGAGAATTTCTTATAAGCATTATTGCTTATTTTTAAGATACGCAACAAGCACCCTCATTGATTTATTATTTTTTAAATTTATAAATTTGATTTATGCGCTAAAAAATTTATATTAAATAATTGGATCATTAAAATTTGATATAAAATATAAATTATTGAACAGAGTAAGTTTAAGTAAACTATTATATAAAAGAGTGAGAGATTGTGAAATGAGTTTCAGAATAGTGGATTTGAGTCTAACTCAACCCTACAAAATCAATTTATAAGGTGAAGATTATTCTCCACTTATATATTCTTTAATTGTCTTGTCTTTAATCAATGTGAGCCTTGAGTTTTTTCTAATACACTTTCTCACGTTGGGCTTGATACGTGAATAAATGGTGGGTGACCCTTTTAAATGATATAAAATAGGCAGTTCATTTTAAGGGCTTAAGATAGACCTAATGTCATCTTAAAAAATATGAAAAAAGTATGCAATCATACCTTAGAAATTAAAATTTACCATGAGCAATAAAAAATATTATTGGGTCAAGTTTGTCTTTTTATATAATAAATATGAAATGTGTGTGTATATGCGGTCATGGACTAGAAAACATATAAATATTAACGTTACTATTGTGAAAAAACTGATATTTAGTATGGTGTTGTGTGATACTTTCCAAGAAAAATTGATATTTACTAAACCTTCTATATAAGTGTACTTGTGTGTTTTTAATATGATAATTTAAGCAAGAAAATAAATTGATATATATATATATAAGATTTCAAATAAATTATTTATCCAATCAAATTTTAAACGGTGATATAATATATATATTTAAAAACTTTTTACATAATTAATTAATAAAAATTATGATTTGTATGATTTTTTTTAAATAAATATTGTATAAGTGAATAAACTTACAATTTTTTATTTTATAATTTTTAGTGGATTATAATTGGACGAATGTTGAAGGATGATTTGGGATTATAGTATTATACGATCAGCCGTTAAAAGTAATGCATGATTGCATCGGGTGTTAAAGAAGGCATGGACCTTGTTGATTTTACAATAGTAGCCTCAAGCCAACAACCTTAGCCGGTTCTCTATAAATACGACCGACCCAGCTGCAGGATGCCACGCCCTTAGGCCTTGAATTATAGAAATTGGAGATTTGGACGTTGTGTTGTGTTGTGTTGTGTGTTGCATTAGCAGGAGAAAAATGTGGTTCATGTACGTGTGCGACGAGGAAGAGAAGGAACTGGGAAGGCAACAAGCCCCAGGGTCGTGTCCCCACTGCGGAGCCAAAGTCGAAGCCATGGACGTTGAGATCCAGTCCAAGCTCTGCTTCTTGCCCCTCTGCTTCAAGATCAAGAGAAAGTACTTCTGTACCCACTGTGCTAGGCGTTTGGAGTTGTATTACTGACTCCATGCCAATTCCTCTTCATCTCCTTTCTCAATTACAACAATAACTCCCTGTAAATAACCAATATTTATATATAAGTCTAGTTAGTCCACTTTTTTTTATTTTTCTTTTTCAGGATTTGGCTCCTACTTGAGTTCCTATGTCATTCAATTAATTGGAGATGAAATGCACTGGATTTTCCTTATTCTTTTCTTTCTCTATTGGGCTAAAGGAATTACTGTTGCCGTTGCCGTTGCCGGTTTAACTAGTTTTCGCATCAGAATCAAACACGGATTCTTTGTTACTAATATGTCACCCATTTCTAATGTTTCAACTTTTTCGCGTTTCATGAAATGTATGGGCGTGTTTCGTGAAAGATTGAAACTTTGCTTATGACACATTAGGAGACACAGAACTTTGTTAAAAAGATTCAATTTTTATGAGTTTTATTTATAAATAAAAAAAAATGAATATCCCTTGAAGGCTTGAATCATGCAGAGTTTGAAGGATTGGAGTGTTGATGATGGGTTGTGTTTTCTTTTTAAAAAAATAAAAAATATGATTTGTTTGTTTTTGGTTCTTATGGGTGGGTTCAGGGCAGTCTGTGGATCCGTCAATGAAAACCATTGGCCCCAGTTGGCACTTTGGAGATGGCGTTTTGTCTGAAGCTTGAATTATGGTTCAGCTTGAAACCAAATCTCTGAGTTGCTGATTCAGAAAGACTGAGTGGATAAGTATCCACCATGTTCAAGGCATAGTGCCTCCCCTGGTTTTCCCTTCTTTATTTAACGTTTTTCTCTGTCTTACTTTTTTTCTTTCTGTCGTTTTTAGTTTATTTTCTGATGAATCAATCCTTCTGAAAGCGACTCCTACATAAATTGTTCATCGGTAGGTCCGAATTCAGCCTTCAAAAACTTAATTTTATAATATAATGTTAAAAATAAAATGCGTTATAAATTAAAAAAAGGACTTTAGGGGTGGGTGGGGGGATTGTACCACTACAAGCCATTTTCGGAAATCAGAACTGTCTCTTGTGAAGTCTTTTGAATAAGCTATAGGGCTTTGGACACAAATGGCACGACCATTGATTGATTTTCGAGATTTTGGTTTGGAGAATGATATGTCCAAGTTCTATTCCGGTTACCTGTTCTCACTTTGTTCCCATCGCACGCTGCCTTTTTCCACCTAAGCACGATTCATATATTAAAATGAATACAAGTTTGATAAGTAATTAAGAATAATACACGTTATTGTCATTGAGTCCCTAATTTTTTAAAGAAATATTTTATGTGCGATTCTAAGTGTTTGTGTAGTATTTTTATTTTAATAGTTTCAAAGTTTTTTTTTTATTTATAATTTTAATCTATTAAATATTGTAGGTCTACAATTTTTTTCCAAAAGTTTTAATAATGTGAATTAAGTCTTCAAAATATTTTACAAATTTTACAAACATTTAATTAGATGACAATATGGCTTGATTACATTTTTGTTACTTTAGTATCGCATATTTACAACGGAATAAAACTATAAAAAAAATGATTATGGCATGTTCATATATGCGTCAAGCAAATAATAAATGTTATAGTATCGGGTAAAATGGGCATACAAATTTAGAATTATGAAAGTTTAATTGTATTTTTACTCTTTAATGTATTATAATTGAAAAATATCATTGATGTTTAGTTCAGTTTATTGAGTCAAATATGCGAATTATGCATAAAAAAAAAAAAAAAGATTAGGAGGGTAGAATTCATTAAAAGTGACTATTAAGATTTTTTAATAAAAATTAATCATCAATAAAATTAATAAATATTTTGTATCAATAATATAATTAAAAAATACAATAATTGTTATAAATCCTTTGAATATTGAATTCAATTTCCATGAATCAAAAAATACTAATTGCAAAGTTTTAATTTTTAAAATTTTTATTATGCAATAAGATCTATTTCAATATATTTTAAAATCTCATATCACTTATAAAGGAGACTAAGAATAGTTAATATACATTATTTATTAAATGTATCTTTACAAATAAAATCATAATAGTTCAACAAACATTAAAATCAACCATACATGTGATTTATTAACAGTGTCATAATAAGATCTTTAAGTTCGATTTATAATTAGGTCATTTTACTAAGATTTTATCTAATATTTAACAGAATTAGCTTACAGTAGCATGACATCGTAGTAAGTAAATACAGTATTTTAAGAATATTACATTAATTGTCTAGTTGATGATACCTATGAATAAAAAAAACTATTATTTTTATAACCCCATAATAATAAAATAAACGGTTTTTATTTTGAGTGAATTAATAACTTAAAAATTAAATAGAATTAAGATCAAGGACCTGACTATAAATTAAATTAGCAGGAGAAAAATTTCTCCGAAAATAGTTGAGAACAGTTTTATGTAAATATATTCTTAAGAAGGTTTATAGAGAGAGAGTAAAAGGGTAGCGAAAATATGCATAGTAATGTGTGGTGCAGGGGAGGAAGGAGAGAAGAAGGGAAAGTGAGAAGTGAGAAAGGAGGATAAGGGAAAAAGACAAAGGAGAATAGGTTGGTTGCCAGATATGCAGTTTTGTCGTCTCATGTAATTTTGATTTTGATTTTGCAAAAATCCCTGTATGACCTCAAAACTCGTTAAAATGGTGAATATTATGTGGCAGCATGTGGTGTTAGTGTTACTGTGGGTGACAATTATAATAGCCAAGTAGCGGTTTGTTTTGGCTTCTGGCTTGTGTGTTATTTTACTGATTCACTTTTATAGATACAGTGATGTATGAAGAGAAAGGGTTGCAGAAAGTGCGGCAGTAACACATGCATCTGTACTTACGTCGCAGCTGATTAGTCCCTCTCCTCTTACTCGCCACGCACGCGCCTCTCCTTCCTCATGCTGCAATTTAACTAACCCATTTTAACTATTTTGTTTTTTGCTCATTTAAATATTATATGTATATTATTTCCAATGATATACTTTTAAACAATCTAAATTTTATATTTATTTATTGTAAATTTTTATTATTTCATATAAAATATTATATGTTAAAAATGTAGAAATTTATTTTTAATAATTTTTACTATAACACTACTTGTTGAACCATACTTTATGTTAAAAGATCCAAGATAAGATAGGAAAGTACTAAAATTTGTTGTTTCTTCCTTTTAGGTTCTAGCTAATCATAGAGTCATGATGTCAAGAGACTTAACATTTCTTCAATCTTGGGAGCTCATTTTCTTTTTTTCATCTTAGAGTTTGTCTTTTTCTTCTCTTAGATTTTTTTTAGAGTCTTAGAGTTATGATTCTTGTAGCGGGTGGTGATTCAAAGCTACTTGGAGTTGGGAATCCCATGGTGTAGGTGTGAAGCTTGTGTTGTTGGAGTTCAGAGTTCATTTCTTCTTCTTTTCTCTTGCCTTAGAGTTATAACTCAACTCCTGATTATTCTATGTTGTGTATGTTGCTTGAAAATTTTCATTTTCGTGGCTAAGAAGTTTTGAGATGGAAGATTTGACAATTTGGGGTTTTTTTTGTGTTCTTGGTGAAAGATTGAGAATTTGATAATTTATTTGATGTGTTGTTGGTGCATGTTTCTTTTCCTTTGATTTCTAAGTTGCATGGTGTTATAATTGCAAGATTTTGAGGTTGCATGCATGTATTATTGCATAAGTTGAGAGGATTTTAGAGATTGGGCGGTGTTCATACCTATTGGGATATTCTTCAACTGTGTAAAAGTTTTTGGGTTTCAGGTTAAATATGAGTTTTCACGCATAGCGTGAGAACTAGTATGTACCTATGGGAAGCTAAGATTAAGCATGAGTTTTCACGCTTAACATGAGGATTGGATGTGCCTTTTTATAAGGTTGAGGTTACGCGTGAGGACTTAGGTGTGCCTCTAAGAGGTTGAGGCTAAGCGTGAGTTTCACACTCAACATAGGAAATTTCAAAATTCTTATACGACTCTAGAAGCCTAACGCTTGATGTGAAATTTCAAACTCGGTGTGGGAACCTAGTCAAATAATTTTCTTCTTTAATTAAGTTGGCTGCTTACTTAATGAATAAGTTATATGGATGATGTTGTATGATAGTGAAATTTATATGTTGAACGTTGATATGTTGTATGTTGATGATTGTGTTGTGAGTTTTTAGTTGAAAGTTGAGTTGAATTGTAGGTCGTGTGGTTATTTAGTTGTGTTGAATATGTTATATGCATGATATTGCTTTATCATTGAGATGATGAAAACATGCTAATGCATGACATTGTTGTGATGTTGAGATGATGAATGTTGAGAATGTTTTATACATTTAGACATGGTGTTATTGAATCGTGATGGCTAACTTAGGATTATAGGAGAAATTATTTTTAAAGTTTCATATCTTATTGTATGGATATTGTGTTGTGTTGCTCCAAGAGGTTAGTTTATTGGAAAAATTCCTTATTGAAAAGTTGACCCATGCAGAGGACAATTGAGTCTCCTTTAGGATCTTAGTTGGTATCATGTGTGCACAAGGTCGAGGCACACATGTATAAAGTGATCACAATAAAAGGACAAGATCGAGTTATACTGATTACAAGTGACTAATCAAGTAAAGTGCAAAGTCGAAAGCTTAGTTCCTAATTGAGTATCAAGTTTAGCTTACCCTTGTTTGTTTTCACGTGGATAGACTTTGATGATTATACTTAATATGATAGCAGAGTAAGAATAGTTTTTTGGGAGAGTTGTTTTGGAGGCTAGTTTGATATTAGTGATGTTGATGTTTTGTGCTACCTTGGAGTAGTTAGTTGGTAGTAGAAGTTGTCTGGCGGGCAATATATGTTGTATAGTTTACTTATACTAAATTACTAGATCTATATTGCCTATATATGTCTAGTTGTTTTACCTTTGTATACATGATATATAATACACATTCACGTATTTGTAGATATACAATTCTAAGTTGTTAGTTATGTTTTCTCTGCTAGTTGTTTGTCGTTAAGTGTATGGGCTATGCGAGTTGTTACATTTATTGTAATATGTTAAAAACAATTGGAAAATGTATTATATTATTATATATTTAAAATTTTAAAAAATGCATAACTATATAAATATGATGAGAAATATTTGACAATATATCAACCCCTATATATTAAACACCAATATCTATCTTATGTAAAAATGTTTTTAGGGACTTTTCTTTAATAAGATGGTTTTTAGATTTTTT